GGACACCTTTCTTGTTTCCTCTTTCTACGAATTAACTTATGTAAAGACATTAGTACGCTCTCGCACTGCACCACCCACATATAGTAGTCAGTACTATATACTCCATTGGTGAGCTGACCATCATTACGTCCTTATTTATTGCGCGCTGGCTGTGCGCCGTTCTTCCTTCGGAGATCTCGGACAGGAGTAGTGTGTGGAATATATCACCCGCCACGAGCGTCACCGGTCACCTGTCGATTTGCGTGCGCGTGCTGGGAAACGTAAATAGCTCGTGCGTGAATCATGATCAGACCTACTTAGGTTTGCACTTGGTAGACCCGACGGAACCACACACATGTCGAGCTACCCGGGATCATCTCGCATTAAGTACCCTACGCTAGTACATCGACAACCAGAAAGCACGCGGAGGAAGCCGGTGACGCTGAGGCTGATGTCAGTGCGCGTTGGGAGGCGTTGAGTTCAGTGCAATTGTGCCAGCCGGAGGACGACTATCGCGGGGATATCTTGTCCGACTTGCCCCGCCTGTCGTGTCCGTGCCAGGGTGTTGGCGCGCGCGAAGGCGTCATTGGGCGCAGAATCCGGGCTTCAGAAGGTGCGGAAATGATGTGCGCCCGTGATAAGCGGGGCCGTAGCGCATCCCAGGCTATCCCAGCCTCCAGGGCGCATGAATGGAAGCAAAGGAAGGTGTTCAGATGACAGAAGGAGGTCTAATTAACATCGGTCACCTTCGGACCAAGGTAGCAACCACAATAAGTATGCTCAAGGAGAAATATTTGTGTACCCTACGGTCCTTGTGCTGATAAATGACCCAGTGGCGATAGTGGGCGCTGTATTCAAATATTCGATGGATCGATGGGGTGGAAGAATTGTTGACACCACCAGTGGTGGTGTCACGACTACGTATCTGAACGGCGCCGGGCCAAGCCCCAAGTCGTGGTATCAGACAGAGTCACGTATCACAATGCGTCATGCATCAACACTAGGATACTTGCAAGAGCTCGACCTGACTAGATGACAAGGTTACACTCTGGTGATCTCTGCCTAGTCTGCGATTATCAACAAGCTCATGTTCTGAAGATCAGGAACACAATGGCCCCAATGATCTGAACGAGCGGAGTTATCACGGCACGAGGTTGACAAGGACTTTCGGTCGATGCGGTGTTAGTCGAAGGCTTGTGGAAGTATAGTTCCCAGTAGCGTCGGAGACGCTCCGTTGAACGGTGGGTCATCGAATAAACGAATGCATGATAAAGTAATCCCATTAGTACTCTAGACATATGCAAAACAGATGAGCGGGGCAGTTCTATGTGGTGGATGAAGGTGAAGGGGTGAAGAGCGAGATGTGTGTGTCTATGAATGACTTAGACATATGCGGCAAACCAGGGAATTAGTGATTGCGCGACAGTGTAACTGAACACGAGCTTGGGGCCAACGACCAGGATCTGCATAGCCCATTAGCGACTTGACATGACAAGGGCATGCCTGGGACGCACCTTGGGCGTGAGGCCTTTGAAGAGTGCTGATGCCCCCTCTTCGCGCAGCAAGTCGCGAATCACGGTAACACCGCTCGTCTTCTGCTCGAAATTTGCGTTTTGGATGCGCGTCTTGATCGTGTCGAGCGGCGCAGCGACGGTAATGGAGGCAACAGCGCCCGCCACTGACGCGACGAAGTTCTGCGTCCATGTCGCCTTGCTGTAATCCGATACGCCAAGGACATAGTCTTTCGTCACCGCGCTCGCACCAAAAAGCTGGTCCAGGCATAAATACACGAGTGCGGGTGCATACAGGAAGACACGCACCGCGAACGACCCCGGTGCATTACGCGCAATGGTCCAGCCCCATCCACGGTAGAGCGTTGTCCCCTCCTCCAGGAAGATACGCACGACGCCGCGTCCGCGGAAAGCCTCAGGATTGACCTGACGCTTGATTTTGAGCGCATCGAGCGGGAGCAAGACGACCTCGCCGATGCCCGTCAGGCTACCTGACGTCGCCTGCATCATCATCTTGCCCTTGCGCTCGCCGAAGACGTTCGTAAAGTTGGTCTTGTAGTTCTTCGAGAGAACGTCGTTGATCCATGGCTGCCCGCCGAACTTGTAGATACGCTGTGAGACCTTGTAGCCGGCGGCGTATCCAAGACCCGGGAAGAGCGAGAGCAGCTTTCGACCGAGGGGTGCAGTGGCGTAGTCCCGGAAGATGATCGGCGAAAGACCAGACAGCGACACGTTCTAACCCAGGGTATGAGTCATGGCTCTCAGAGTAAGGTGCCAGCGAGGGTTCGGCTCGGAGGACAGTGCGTACCTTGGCTTTGTTGCTCATAAGCCGTTTGGCAATGGTGTCAACCGGGTGGAAAATGAGCAGCTCGGCGACGCCTGCGAAACGGACGTTCTCTGTTCAGCATGTGCACTCCTCCGCCGCCGAGCGGAACGGCCAGGTGTAGCACGCACCAGATGTACCAGACCCGAGAATGCGCGCGGTGCCGGACTCCTTTCCTTTGACGGCGAGCGTAGGAGACATCCTGGGCGGCTTTTGGTGAGAGAGTGGGAGGAGGGGATGGACGTGGTGGACGGCGAGCAAGAGCGCTTTTCGCCAGAAAATGAACGGACATGACTCCCGAGCCGCCCATAACAACTTACGTAATAACCCTCAACTTCCCCAACAACTCACGGTCCCGTCCTCGTTAAGTGCGTTCACATAGGTCCACATTCGCAGCTATGTCACCTCACGGCCCGTGCGCGCATGATATTCGGGCGAAGAACGCATGATTCTCCGTTGGGATCCCGCCTTATAGTTTCTCATGAAACAAAGTTCATGAGCTGCGGACTCCTGTCATCTTGTAAAGTAGACATGTCGACTGCCCAGTTGTGCGGCATCTTCCCGATACCTTCCAAATCACAGGGGCCCACTTCATTGATCAACTGGAGTATTGAAGCTCGTCAATAAGCACTGGCGACTCGTATTGCGTTGTAGCGCGGACAGGGTTTTGGGCTCGGATGCTTGGACAACCCGCGACGACACTCCTTCCAGTCGGGCCCTTGCTCCCTCCGTGATGGACCCATATACATGAACTCTTGAGCTGCAATGACGTGGCGCGCCCGTAATCACCTAGCGCGTAAATCAGTGTGAGTTGGATGGTGGGCGTGGGGAATATGCTCTTACAATGTGAATTATCAAACCTCGAAAGTCTCCAGCCCTGGGGGTATATCAACGCTGAGCGTCGAACCGAGATACTCGACCATCCCGACGGGCCGGTACACCCAGACCTCGCCCTCCTGCAGCTTCGCGAGATCGTAACTCTCGCGCTTCGGCACGACCCCAGCAGACTGTTCTACGACAGTCAGCGAGCCGATATCCGCAGGCGACACGCTCGCGCCGTCTGCAACAGCGCAGCGCGGTACGGTGTCCGTGACGAGCACGGCGGTGTGATCCGGGTTGCCCAGGATCGCGTAGCCGCCGCGCTGCGCCGTGCCGATGCGCACCGTGCGCCACTCGACGACATCGCCCGCGCGCAGGCGGTCGTCGCCGCCACGCCAGCGCCCCGCGCCGGGGCGCCCGCAGAAGAGCAGATGCCCGTGCGCGCGCGATGTGCTGAGCACCGGTGCGTCGCGCGGTGCACAGCGCGCCGCGGCGGCCTGAAGCGCCTCGTGCGCGATGTCCCAGCACTCGCCACGCGCAACTGGCCGCCCGGACGCGAGTGCGTGCTCCGCAAACTCTGCGACAGCTGCGCCATGCGTCGCAGAGGCATGCTGAAGCGCTGCGGCGGACATTGGCTCTGGCCGCGGGCGGAAGCGAGCCCAGCGCGTAACTCCCGCGCCGCCTGCGCTCACAGAGTACCAGCACAGGCTGAGGTCCGAGAAGAGGATGACGCCGCGTGCGACGCGTGTTTGCCCATCGGGGAAGCCGTACGCGCCGGAGAAGCGGAGCTCTGGGGAGCCTTGGAGGTGCGGAGGGAGTGGCGAATCGCCCGCGTACCACTCGGACTCCCACTCTGTCGAGGGATGCATGTATACCGCCAGGTCGGCGGCAGCAGAGCCGTTCTGCGTTGGAGGCGGGAACGACATTTGCAGATCTTCGGCTGAAGCAGAAGGACGTTAGGCGAACAGATGAAACGCTGGAGCGAGAGCAACAGACCAGTTGAACTGTATGAGGGCCTTGTAGAGGGACTTGGACGGGGAGGTGGGGGTGCGTTGCTGGTACCGGAGGGCCTTGTTGAAAGGTTGACCTTTGGCGGCTGCAGTTGGAGGTTCAGTGGCGTCGCTCTCTGGAATGGCAGACACTGACCAGCTCGCGTGATAACATGGGTGGCAGGTTGCGGCGGACGGGTGGTGGCGGAGGTGATGTGTGGCTTGAGGTCTCAAATCCCGGGCTCGCGCTTGCTCGAGGAACATCTCTGCGGGGTGGGAGCGATGGTGACGGCCGCGGTGACGGAGTTGGCGGCGTCGGGCTCTTCGAGGGGCCCACAGAGATGCGGGGCGGGGGCACAGGCAGGTCCAAGTAGCGCGCGAAGAACTCGTCGAGCCATGTGAAGAAAACTTGCTTGTCCTCGTTGGACAGGTTCGCCCAGTCGATTCTGTCGACTTCAGCCGCGTCAGCAGACGATTCCGGACCGTCTGCGCGCAAAGAAATGGCACTAGGGCCGCTCCCAGTAGCGGCAGACGATCTTCGAGGGGGAGGAGGGGGCGGAGGCTTCGCTTTGGTAGCACCAGGCGCGCCGCTAGAGAACTTGTTGCGCGCTGCGCCAAATGTGTTTGAGCTTCTCTCTTTCAGACTTGCAACTGCGGGAGATCACCTCAGCTACACGAACGTTATAGTGGCAGTAGGCTCACTTGCCAGAAAACGGTGCCATCGCCAGTCGCCTCCGACGCCGGGTCTAACGGATTTGCACTTTGATGCGTAATGGGGGAACAACGGGGTTCACGTTCAGTGCATCAGCCACTTATCGCGCCGTCTTTCAATTTCAGCGGCGGCCTCAAGTGAGGGAGTGGGGGACAGGAAAAAAAGAAAGGCGCTACCAGGGTTCGAACCTGGGTTAACGGAAATTGATCAATGGTCAGAATCCGTTGTGATAGCCACTACACTATAGCGCCATGGCACGTGCTTTTCATCATATACTATGACGTGCTCAGTTCGATCACCTCGAGGCCGTGCGGCGACCCGCGTCTTTGCCTGAACCAATTCCGGCAGCAGGACTTCCCTCCAACATCACCTCACGCCGTCGTCACTTCTGTTCTCATTGTCCCCACGGAAGAAATTTAAACCAGCAGTTGATCTGTATGCTGTTCAGTCACATCCTGTTAAGCCGCCGCATCTTTCACAATCGACAACCGTGCTCAACTGGCAAAAGCGAGACTTCTCTCAGTGGCGGCGCTTTGATACCTTCGAGAAAGGATATTCTATTCGTCACGCCTTTCCTCCACTGATGCATCCGTATCTGGGACAGTCATCAGGCTTGATCCAGTTTGGCCGTAGGAGGGCGCTTTCGCCTCCGGCGTTCTCTTGAAGGATCGATGTTTGGGCAATTGAGGGTCAGGAAAACTGCGATGGACCACTGCCACTTCTACAACGAAGCTCAGTATGGCCGCGCTTCGTGTTCGTGATACCGCATTCCGCACGACAACACCTCGAGGTCTTCGGCCAGACCGTCTACCGCATACTCCATCTCAGAATTCGTTACACACGTTAGGTCTCTCAAATCCTCAATTGCTGAGCCGACTCTGGCTCGGCGTCGGCAACTACGGCAATTGTCGTTTCTTTTGGATGTGTTGCTCTTGCGCCACCCTCTCAAGGCCTGGTATGGGTTCCATCGCGGGGGTTTTCGCCGACTTGGAAGGTGTTCGCGTTTCAGTCTATTGTTATATACACGTTAATGGACCGTCTCCAGTAGGTCTGCAACTGGTTTTCTCAAGCATATCTCCGAAGCTCGGATGACCTAGCTAGTCACTATAGCACGCAATGAGAGTGGGAGTGCGTCACCAATGGCTCGTAATGGTTAGTTAGTGCTTAGTAAAAGATGCATTTGGCTTCACCCCACTAACCTTCTGTCTTCCCAGGTTGTATTGAATCTCAAGCAGTCATAGGTGACGCTTCCGGCCGCATCTTCCGTACCTGAAAACGCTATCGTTTTTGCGTAAAGGCTCTCTGCGATGAATAAGCAACCGAACCGTTCTACGACCTCGATCTCGGAGATGTCGAGTGCAGCATAGAAGCAAGCACGCAAGTAACGGTATGCATTACCCCACTGTCCACTGCGTAACATGCGCTGACACATCAGTAATCAGGGCTTCTACTCTTTCGTGTTGGGATTCGACGCATGCATCACAGCATCATATCTCTGAAGACAGGGCATATGCTCCACTTCATCGGGCCTAGAGAGATAACACCACCCTCTTATTCGCAGCGCCCATGGGATACATTTTCTTAGGTTTGTCTTGATTTTCTGCTGTGACGTATAATCCCAACTCAGCCTGACTGTGGGTAGAATGCAATGACTCGTTTGGAGCGGCCCAGTCGGCGATTAAAACGAAGGGAGCTTAACTAACGCCTACTCTCATGTAATTCGTTCGTCAAAGGGGGGTTCAACGTGCGAAACTCTGTAAAGCGTAGGCTATAAAGGGCCCAGTAACATCCCACGTAAGTTGTCAGTATTCCTTCAATGGCGAACGGTCCACTAAGTGCTCTACTTCGTATCATTTCTGAAGGTGTTCGCACCCTCGAGTCTACGTACTCCAAAAATAACGCTACATTTCCATCTCTTGACGAACCATTCACTCCTGGACCTCTCGATAATAACCCTGACATCGTCGCCGCAAAACAACTAGCTGTTGCGGCCGCGTACCAGCTGATCGCAACTGTGCAGTCCCCACTTGAGCATCTTCAAGAGCGAGGGCTCTCAATGTACTCTACAGCTTCCTTGGGTCTTGTCGAGGAAGTGGACGTAGCAGACACAATCAAACAAGCTGGGTCTGAGGTATGATCGTTGTTGGCTCAGCAGCCGTATCTGACCACATCCAATTCTCAGGGTCTTCATGTGAACGATATAGCACATAAGAGTGGAGTAGACCCTGCAAAGCTGAGTGCGTAATTCGAACAGATTGGAACAAGGTTGACATCCTGACTTGCGTTGGATTATAGCGCGTGTTCTTCGATACCTTGCCTCGCGCCACATCTTCAGGGAAATTGCCCCGGACGTTTATGCCAACAATCGTCTCTCTTCTCTCCTCCTGAAGAATAAACCTCTCGAAGAGCTGAGAAAAGAGTAAGCTCATTCTACTTTGATGACCACACCCAACCCGATGTTAATGTTCTTGCTTTCAGCCCACTCACAAAGTATGACGGGGCTGCCACCGCCGCTTTCATTAACCATGCGTGCGTGCGCAGTCCCGATCGTCCTTGATAAGCCATCGATTTAGCCAACGCATTTAGTGCGGATGAGTGCTTGAAAGGCGCTGCATACTTGAAGGATTTCATCAAGGGTAGACCTGAAGGTGTTGACACACCCTGGAACCTCGCTACCGGCAGGAAAGAGACGGTCTGGCAATGGTTTCAGGAACCCGACAACCTGTGGCGTTTCCATCGCTTCACGGCTGCTATGAAGGGAGCGGCAGATGGCTTCCCTTCGTCAATCTTCACCGGGGGGCTTGACTGGGGTTCGCTCGCGCGTGACAGTGTTGTCGTTGACGTCGGTGGGGGCGTCGGCAAAGTCGCACAAACGTTATTCAAGGATTTCCCTCACTTGAAGTACGTCGTCGAGGACCTCCCTCCAGTGATCAAGGACGGAGAAACCGTAGGACTATGCCTATGAATTCTACATTGCGCTCACGGGGCTTTAGTTTTGGACTGCAAGCTCCCCGAAGGCATTGGAAGAGGGACGAGTCACTCTGAAAGGTAATTGATTCTCGTAAGTGCTCGTTCGTGATACTAATCAAGGTATACAGCCCAGGACTTTTTTGAGCCTCAAGCAGTGAAGGAGGCAGCCGTATACTACTTGCGGTTCGTTATTCACGACTGGGCAGACGCCCCGAGCATCAAGATTCTCGAGAATCTGCGCAAAGTGGCGGCACCGAACACACGCCTGGTCCTCTTCGACATACTCATGCATCATGTCTGTGATGTTCCCGGTGGCCCTTCTCCCCCACCTGAACCTCTTGTCGGAAGTCCCGGATTATCTTTCATTACCATGGCGGACCTACAGGTGCGCTCGCTGTTGCGAAATGGGCTAGATCGTAGCTGACCACATCGCGTAGATGCTCACGATGTGCAATGGCCAAGAGCGCACAGAGGCACAGTTCCGGGCGCTTGGTGCCGCGGCGGGCTGGAAGCTAGAGAACGTCAAGCCTGGCCCACTTGCCGCTTTCATCTTCTCTCCCGCTTGATTTGCTACCTTCAACGAAGATATCTGGGCTGCTACGCGAATTCTACCGGCGCCCAAACTGGAATTCCGACATGGTATCGTCAAGACTGACCGTTCAACCGGTTTTCCGAAGAAAATGCCAGCTCTCCTCAGCTTGCATTGGTATTCTGTAGTAAAGGCGGGGAGTGGCTGCGGGCAGAGTAGGCGGCTGGATGGTGCTTCGAGCCTATCGTACACCACAGTTCTGGAGAGCAGTCATCATAACTATGAGTTCTCACCGCTGTTGACTTTCATTCAATCATATCTCACGCGACGTGAGGACTTGGTGAGGACAATGTCTTATTGGGCTGCGGTCGCTATTGGCATGCGCTCCTTCATCCAGTCTCCGAACCAGCCCTTCACGTACGCGATATCTCAAACGGAAGATATATCGCCCTCTCTGATTCTCCGGTGAGTACGCTGGCGCACACTGGGAGCACGCCTAAGTTCTCATAAGTGAATAGTGATATCTCATGGCGAGTTCAAGGGATCCAAGCCGCTGTGATCACTTCATGTGTCGCCCCGCTTTGTTTTTGCATGGGAGCTCCCCGTCACAGCCGTGGTGGCTATGGGCGATGGCAGAAACTCATCTTGCTGCTGGTCGTTGATGACCGCAACCTTACTCATACACACCACTGTTGTCATCGAAGGAGATCACAAGGGCGTGCCGAAGAGGCCTGAGCCGGCTGACTTAAGTTCCAGGCCCTCCTACATCCCCTTTCGTTGGCTGATTCGTATCAGATATACGTAAGTACAATACGTTTCTCACGTGTTGCCCAATTGACAGGAATCTGCGGTGCGGCGTGCCTCGTAATGGAGTACGAAGTCTGCGCGAGTGCACTCATCATAGTTCTGGGCGCCGGCCAGGCAAGGCCGTATAAAAGCAGCGTCAAAGACACACCAAAACCCCAACTTTCGAGTCCCCGATGGCTTCAAGTCCGCTCGCAGCACTGGCCAACATCGTCTTGCAGGGAGTGCAGACGCTCGAGTCTAGTTACTCGAGACAAGGCACATCATTCCCATCCCTCGATGAGCCAAAATTCCTTCCAGGAGCACTTGATGGTGACTCAGATCTAGCCGCCACAACGCGGCTGATTGTTGCGGCTGCCCATCAGATCATAGCGACTGTGAGATCTCCCATTGAGACGATGCAGGACTGCGGACTGGCAATGTATATGACCGCTGCTCTGGGATTTGTTGAGGACGTCAACGTCGCAGACGCGATAAAAGAAGCTGGCCCACAGGTACGATGACCGGTATCCTTTGGCTAGACGTACCTTACCTTGCGGTCTTTCGTTGCTTTGGTACCCAGGGTCTCCACGTGAAGGAGATAGGCGCAAAGATCGGGGTTGATTCTGTCAAACTTGGTACGTGCCTGCTTCATGAATGCGTAGGAAATTGAAGTCAATTTAGAGGCATTAGCTCGTGTTCTTCGGTATCTTGCTACTCGTCATATCTTCAGGGAGGTCTCTCCTGACGTGTACGCCAACAACCGCATCTCGTCGCTCCTTATCAAGCCAAAGCCCCTTGAAGAGATAGAGAAAGAGTAATTCGTACATCTACCGATGCCTATCGCGTTGAACTCTTACCTTGATTCGCCCGTTCAGCAAGCTCACTAAGTATGACGATGCAGGGATATCTGCTTTCATAGGTCACATGTACGTCAACAGCATAGTCTTGGTAGTTCACTAATCAATG